CAAAGGGAGAGAAAGTGGTCCCTGACTAAAGAAAGGGAGTCAGGGAGACGAGTGACTAGGTAGTAGAGGGTGATGTACATGGGGGGGGGGTTCTTGGCACAGAACTCAGTGGGAAGCGCAGCGCGGTAGCGGGCGTCACTAGTGTGGAGGTGAGTAATGAGGTCAGCGACTGTGGCAAAGGCGGCTAGGTCAGGGAACAGGTACGGCAGCATGAGGCGGCTGAGGGCAGTAGTGGCAGGGGAGGAGTAGCGCGCTACTACAGCGTCCTACAAAGACTGAGCAGTCTTGTACTGGCCAAAGTGCGCGCGCTCAGCAGACGGCAGGTGACTACGAACAGCAAGGCGAGCAACAGCGTCATGAGTAGTCCACTGTGAGCGAACCGTACTGTCAGCTGTGGCAGCAGGTGCAGGAGAGACACCGGACGTGTGATCGAAAAGGGAGACTCCGTCCTTAGAGTAGCAGCAGTAGCAGCAGAAGCAGCAGTAGCAGCAGTAGCAACAGAAGCAGCAGTAGCAGCAGGAGCAGCGCGGGCAGGGCAGTGCGGCTCAGTAGGGCGGCGCGGCTCGGTAGGGCGGCGCGGCTCGGCTGGGCGGCGCGGCTCGGTAGGGCGGCGCAGCTCGGCTGGGCGGCGCGGCTCGGCTGGGCGGCGCGGCTCGGCTGGGCGGCGCGGCTCGGCTGGGCGGCGCGGGTGCTTTCCAGGGGCGGGTGCAGGGCAGGGCCGCAGCTGGCGGTTAGGTCAGGGCCGCGACTGGGGCGGCTGTAGGGCAGGGCTGCGACGAGGCGGCGGCAGAGCAGGGCCGCGACAGGGCGGCAGAAGGGCAGGGCCGCGACTGGGCGGCGGTAGAGCAGGGCCGCGACGAGCGGCTGAGGGCAGGGCCGCGACGGGTGGCGGCAGGGCAGAGGCCGCGACGGGCGGCGAGGTCAGGGCCGCGATGAGGGGCGGCAGGCCAGGGCCGCGACGGGCGGCGAGGTCAGGCCACGACGGGCGGCAAGGCAGGGCCGCGGGTGGCGGCAGGGAAGGGCCGCGACGAGGCGGCGAGGTCAGGGCCGCGACGAGGCGGCGACAGGGCAGGGCCGCGACGGGCGGAGAAGGCAGGGCCGCGACGGGCGGCACTAGAGCAGGGCGCGCGACGGCGCAGGTGAGGCAGGCACGAGGCACGCTTCGGGCAGGGCAGGAAAAAAAAATCGTGGTGGGCCCTAAAAAAAACGTTCCCACTAGGGAACCTGCTCTGAAACCATGTCAGAATTGTGAAGGAAAGGATGATTGAATTAGCAAGCAGGTGGGTACAAGTAGGAAAACCTAAAAGTGTTGTACCCCATATTGACTAGCCCACTACAGCCTACACAGACTATGTCATATAAGTTTGACACGTTAAACTTCACCAATTTCAGATATATTGTAGCTGTAGATTGTAGCTACCATTCCCAATTTGAATCGTATTAAAAGGTGAAGCAAATCTCGAGATATTAATTTCGGCGCACTGGGGGGTATGCTGCCACATAAACTTAACCCAGTCACAATAGTTTCAACCAAGATCCACAAAGAGAATTAGAGTAGATAGAAACCAGGTAGGAGGGGATGAGGAGGACGAGAGAGAATTTCTCCAAGGAGTCCCCAACAGGAAACCCTGTAAGCACACAATTCCCCTCCCTATAGGCACCCCAACTTTGACATTTCTCATTTTCCCAACCCATGCCATCCACCTCACCCAACTTGGCCACACTTGCCAACCTGGTTTGGCTTCTCCCAACCACTTGGCAGCCACTACAGTAGAAATGACGAATTTCCCAACCCCCAAAGGTCTATACCCTTATGGAGTCAACCCCACAACTTCCCATTGTCGCCGCAACCAAATAACAAAGCATACGAACTTCAACCGTTCGTAACTTTCCCGTTCGTGCTCCGATTGAAGCGATCCTTGGTTCGTCGGAAATCTCTTGAGCAGAGAAGTCATTTCAGATATCTGCTCAAACAAAATAACATGCACACATACTCAGAAAATACAAACCACACCAAACACAAGTTCTTACGCACGCGCACACAACGCATGCAAGGTAGAAAGATGAGATGGGAGGCAGACATGCGTGAATGCATACGATAGCATCACATAACAAACTCCCCCTTTGGCTGCCAGCCATCATCCCACATGCCTCAGCTCATGCATGCATACTCAATGCACACACATTCCATCAAGCTTCATTCACTTCCAGTAACCATCCCATTGGGTTGGGTAAGGCGAGGGGAGAGGATGGGTTGGGAATCCAAGCAAATATCCAATGGTGAGTTGGCAGATTTGTTGGATTACGGGGGGATCCCAACCAGATAAGGTTGGGATAACAAATCTACACCCAACCTACAAATAACCTACACGATATAAAATAGAGTACACAAATGTGTTGACAGCATTATTCTAACACACCCCCTAGGCTGCAACACATCAGCCACAGGGAGACCGAACACCCATGGACGAGAGGAGGCGGTAATGGTCCTGGCGACCAAGTGACTTGGTAAACAAGTCAGGAAGGTTGCAGTCGGAGGCAATGTGTTCGGCCTTCAGCTGCTAGCGCTGCACCAGCTAGAAAGTAGTGACTGATCTCAATGTGCTTGGTGCGGCTGTGGAAGACGGGGTCCTTGGTGAGATGAATGGTGCTCTCGTTGTGACACCAAAGCATTGGGGTTGGTTGAGGATACCCGAGTTCTGCCAGCACGAAGGAGAGCCAACGGGCTTCCTGGGCAGCCATGGTCCTGGCATACAGCTCTGCCTCATAGGATGACAGTGAGACTGAGGACGATTGAGTGGAGCCCCAACTCACAACCCCGATGCCAAGGGTAAAACAATACCCCTGAGAAGAGCGCCGATCACTCTGGTCATCTGCGTATGAAGAATAACTGTACCCCTCAAGCCGAACAGGTAAAGAGCCGCCAAGAGTGAGCACATAATCATGTGTGCCTTTGAGATAGCGAAGGACCCGCTTGGCGGCATACCAGTGGTGGTGAGTGAAACGACCAGGTGCAACGTAGCGGGACATTACACTAACTCGGTAGGCCAAGTCTGGCTGAGTGCACATCATCGCGTACATGAGGGATCCAACGAGCTTGGTGTATGGCTCGTCACAGGGCTCAGGTGAGGGAACAGAGGGTGCAATGACCTGGTGCTGGAGAGAGAGTGTGGTAGGCATTGATGTTTCTTCATGCATCTTGAACCGCGTCAGGCCGTTGTTGATGTAAAACATCTGCAAGAGGGTGATGGTGCGGGCCGTGCAATCACGTGTGATTTCCATTCCCAAATAGTTCGTCAGCTTCCCAAGATCCTTCATGGCCTGCTTCTCACCAAGTGCGGTTTTGACTGCAGCCAACTCAGCCTGATCCTTGGTGACAAGGATCATGTCATCGACATAAACCAGGATGAAGCAGCGGGATGGGGTTGCTCGGATGAAGAGGCTGGGGTCAGAGGTGGATGAGTGAAAGTCAAGGGACCCTAAGGTGCTCTTGAGCTTGTTGTGCCATTCCCGGGGTGCTTGCTTGAGACACATCCATACAGTCAACCTCCATGTCATCTCGAGCAGCAACATCAAGTAGGGTGCGTAGTGTGGGGGATTTGGCGGTGGGAGAGAATGTCTCAAAGAAGTCCAGTCCTTGCTTTTGGGTGAATCCCTTGGGATAGTACCGGGCTTTGAAAACAGGAAGTTCGCTTGGAAGTTGTTTCATCCAAAAAACCCATTTGCCCTTCACGATGTTGACGCTGGAGGGAGGAGAGACATGTGAAAGTTCCAGTGTGAATGGAGGCCTCACATTCTGCGACAATGGCCCCCAACCACTGGGCAGCGTGAGGACCAGAAACTGCTTCAGCATAGGTGAGAGGTGTGGGGATGGAGGGGTTGTCGGAGAAATTGAGGGTGGGAGAGTCTGCGATATCTGGAAAGAGGAAGCAGAGCGCGTGTATGGCCGAGTCGATATCAATCAACTCCTCATGTCTGTCCTCAAGGAGGGAGGGCATGAGAGAGTAATCACCCCCTACAGGAGGAGGATTGAGGGAGACACGGATGGAAAGGGAGAGCGGCTTTGGAGATCCATGAGAGCGGGTGCGAGAAGCGATGGGGGATGGAGGCGGAGCTGGAGGAGGAGTAGCGGTAGGTGAAGTGGGAGTGGGAGCAAGAGCAGGAGCTGGAGCAGGAGCAGGAGCTGGAGCAGGAGCAGGAGCTGGAGGACGGCGTTTGTAGGTTTTAAGAGGAGGAGTAGCGGTAGGTGAAGTGGGTGTCGGAGCAAGAGCAGGAGCAGGAGCCAGAGCAGGAGGCGGGAAGAGAGGAGGAGATGGGGGAGACTGTGTGGTGCGGGAGGGGGAAGCTGGTAGTGGAGGGTCGGAGATGTTAGGATTAAAACCCGCGTCTCAAATTTACAACCGTATTACACTTGAACTGGAGTGCAAACCTGGGATTGGTGCACGAGTAACGAAATTCTGCAAGAGAGGAGGGGTGATTTGGGCGAAACCTGAACACTGTGCCCTCAACACCAAACCTACCGCCCTAACCTGATGACACACCCAAACCTGTGAATAACAGGTTCGTCAGGTTTGGCACTCCCTGCGACAAACCTGCACGACGTAAACACAACACACATTTTCGCCAGCAGTCACGCAACCACCAGCACATCGTCATCCACGCCAGCCCCTTCAACTCTTAGAAAAATTCAACGTCATTACTGCTCATTCGCCCGTGTATGTCTGCTCAAGCGGATAATGGGCATGGAGCTAGTGGAATGGCGGAATTCTCCGACGCCGTTGCAGATCGAGGCTCCGTGGAAACCGCACGTGAGTAAAGCAATTTGCGCGAATCGCTCACAGTAACAGACCCGCCACCCATTGAGTCCCGCGCATTGGCCACCACATTATCGCATAACCCTTCCCACGGTCGCCATCATCGTACTCCCGATAATGGACCCTACGCTTCCCCACCGTCGCCCTCCGCGCTACCACACAGTCGATGCACCGTTAGCCCACGCAATGAACCCCCTTCCCTTCGCGCACCCTCCCCTTCCCCCTCGCGGGCATTCCCCTTCCCCCGTCACTGTCACTCCCCTTCCTCGTCGCCATCTCTCCCCTTCCCCCTCGCTAGCATGCTCGTTCCCCCCCCCATGCGCTCCCTCCACTTCCCCCTTCACTATCACTCCCCTTCCTCGTCGCGTTCTCTCCCCTTCCCCTCGCTAGCGTGCTTGTTCCCCCCCCATGCGCTCCCTCCACTTCCCCTTCACTATCACTCCCCTTCCTCGTCGCGTTCTTCCCCTTCCCCTCGCTAGCGTGCTCGTTCCCCCCCCATGCGCTCCCTCCACTTCCCCCGTCACTATCACTCCCCTTCCTCGTCGCGTTCTATCCCCTTCCCCCTCGCTAGCGTGCTTGTTCCCCCCCCATGCGCTCCCTCCACTTCCCCCGTCACTATCACTCCCCTTCCTCGTCGCGTTCTCTCCCCTTCCCCTCGCTAGCGTGCTTTCCCCCCCCATGCGCTCCCTCCACTTCCCCCTTCACTATCACTCCCCTTCCTCGTCGCGTTCTATCCCCTTCCCCTTGCTAGCGTGCTCGTTCCCCCCCCATGCGCTCCCTCCACTTCCCCCGTCACTATCACTCCCCTTCCTCGTCGCGTTCTATCCCCTTCCCCTTGCTAGCGTGCTCGTTCCCCCCCCATGCGCTCCCTCCACTTCCCCCGTCACTATCACTCCCCTTCCTCGTCGCGTTCTATCCCCTTCCCCTTGCTAGCGTGCTCGTTCCCCCCCCATGCGCTCCCTCCACTTCCCCCGTCACTGTCACTCCCCTTCCTCGTCGCGTTCTCTCCCCTTCCCCTCGCTAGCGTGCTTGTCCCCCCCCCATGCGCTCACTCCACTTCCCCCATCACTGTCACTCCCCTTCCTCGTCGCGTTCTATCCCCTTCCCCTTGCTAGCGTGCTCGTTCCCCCCCCATGCGCTCCCTCCACTTCCCCCGTCACTATCACTCCCCTTCCTCGTCGCGTTCTATCCCCTTCCCCTTGCTAGCGTGCTCGTTCCCCCCCCATGCGCTCCCTCCACTTCCCCCGTCACTATCACTCCCCTTCCTCGTCGCGTTCTATCCCCTTCCCCTTGCTAGCATGCTCGTTCCCCCCCCATGCGCTCCCTCCACTTCCCCCGTCACTGTCACTCCCCTTCCTCGTCACGTTCTCTCCCCTTCCCCCTCGCGCACGTGCACTATCCCCTCTCATGCGCTCCCTCCACTTCCCCCGTCACAATCACAATAGTTTTCACAAGTTCCACACATGAGAATTAGAGTAGCTATAAACCAGGTAGGAGAGGATGAGGAGGACGAGAGGGAAGGTCTCAAGGGAGGCCCCAACCAAGGAAACTACATAAGCACACCTTTCCCATCCCTATAGGCACCCCAACTTTGACCTTTGTCACTTTCCCAACCCATGCCATCCACCTCACCCAACTTGGCCACACTTGCCAACCCGGTTTGGTTTCTCCCAACCACTTGGCATCATCTACAGTGATGGTGGCGAATTTCCCAACCCCAAATGGTCTATACCCCATATGGAGTCACCCCACAAATTCCCATAGTCGCCGCAACCAAATTTGAAGAACATACGAACTTCGAACGTTCGTAACTTTCTCATTCGTGCTCCGATTGAAGCAATCCTTGGTTCGTCGGAAAGCTCTTGAGCAGAGGAATAATTTCAGATATCTGCTCAAACAAAATACCATTCATACACACTTAGATAATCCAAACCATGCCAGACACAAATTCTTACTCACGCATACAACACACATGCAACGGACGAACATAGGATGGGAGGCAGACAGACGTGAATGCATATCATAGCATCACACAACAAACTCCCCCTCTGGCTGCCAACCATCATCCCACATGCCTCAGCCCATGCATGCACCCTCAATGCACACTCATTCCAGCAAGTTTCATGCCCTTCCAATGCGCAAGTTCAGCCAGGCGCTTGGTGAGAATATCAGCCGCCTGCTGCTGGGTCTTCACTATCTCCAACTGCACTTCTTTGTCCTGGAGCCTCCTCACCCAGTGCCACTTAGGCCTGATGTGCTTTGTCAGTCCATGCAGACAAGCATTCTTGGCCAAATTCACAGCTGACTCGTTGTCACAGAAGATAACTATCGGGTCCTTCTGTCCAAACCCGATCTCCTCCAACAAACGCCTCAGCCACACCACCTCCTTGGCCCCATGATGTAGGGCCATGTACTCTGTCTCACATGAAGACAGCCCCACCTCATTCTGCTTCTTGCTGCGCCAGCTCACTGCACCACCTCCAAACAAGCACACATAGCCTCCAATGCTGGTGCCATCCGCCTTCACAGAGTTGAAGCTAGCGTCAGTGTAGCAGGTCAAGAGAATCTCCCCCTTGCTCAAATCAGCTGCACCCCGCTGCAGTCTCTGTCGCACATCACTGTACTCCAAACCAACTGATGCTGTAGCACTCACATAGCGGACCAACCTCTTGGCCGCTTCAGCTGCTCATGACTGGGGCGTGAGACCACACTGGCAATCCTGGATGTAGCAATGGCAATGTCAGGCCGTGTGTGGTTCGCCGCATAGTTGAGTGCCCCAACCATGGAATGAAACAGCTTCCTGTCGCTCTCACCCACCACCTCCTCATCAGCACAGGGCTCCACAGTGAACCTCGAAGGCAGTGGGGTTGCTGGCTTTCCTCCATCTTGCAGCCCATACTTTTCAGCCAGCCCCTCATAGTACTTCCTCTGGTGCAACCTCAACACTCCCTTGTCAAGGTCTCTCTCCACATGCATCTCAACGGAATACTTCACATCCCCCATCTTCGAATACTTGAACTGCATCTCCAGCATCTCCTCCACACGGTCAATCATACCAGACGGATCAGAGAAGAGAAGGATGTCGTACACATACACCAAGAGCATGAGGAACTGCTCCTTCTCTTGCAACAGGAACAAGCTGTGATCACACTCGCTCTTCTTGACTCCCCCAGCCAGCAGTGTCTCCTCCAGCTTGTGGTACCATGCGCGAGGAGCCTGCTTCAAACCATAGATGGCCTTCTTCAGCTTGCACACCCTGCCGCTCTCATCATCCAATCCCTCAGGCTGCTGCATGTACAGCTCCTCCAGAATGATCCCGTTGAGGAAGGCAGTTGTGATGTCCATCTGCTTGATCCTCCATCCACGGTTTGTAACCGTTGCCAATGTCACCCTCAGTGTTGTGCCCTTCCCCACTGGAGCAAAGATTTCGTCAAAGTACTTCCCCTTTGTCTGCTGAAATCCCTTTGCCACAAGCCTTGACTTATAGCGGGTCAGCTCCCCATCAGGTCCATACTTGTGCATGAAAATGAGCTTCGAAGAGATGGCCTTCTTCCTAGGAGGAAGCTCACACAACTCCCACTTTTTATTCCCCTGCAAAGATTCATACTCCTCCTTCACACTCTGCTTCCACTTTTCAGCATCGGGCCCGTTCAGTGCCACTGCTAGCGTCTTGGGCTCAAGGACGGCTGCCCTGTAGCAGTGTGCTACCTCATCCTCATCACACTGCTCAGCCATACTCCCAGCCCGTACCACCTTTGGCGTGCCACGACTCGGATAGGTCAGCCTGGCAGGAGGGCGCACATCCCTCCTAGGACGCTCAGGCGGGCGTGGGGCACGTGGTGCAGCATCTTGCTGCTGCTGCGCCTGCTGGTGCTGCTGCTGCTGCGGCTGCTTCTGCTGCTGCTGCTGCTGCTCCACCTCAGGTTCTCCACCATCCTCAGTCACCCCAGAGATCTCCTCCTCAGCGACAGAAAATTCCACTTGCATCGAAGGCCGCTGCACCTCATCGGCCTCAACAATGAGTGGTGTAGTAGGAAGCTTCTGCTGCTGCTGCTGCTTCTACTCCTTGTAATACAAGGACTCAAGGAACTTCACATCCCTCGAAACAGTGAGCCTTTGGCTGGTCAAGTCCCATAGCAGCCAGCCCTTATGGTCCTTTGCAATCCCCAAGTGCACACCCTGTTAGGATTTAAGGACGGAGTCTAGGAAGATTAGGGGCCGAAATAACTCAAAATCGCTGGACAAAAATTCAGGACAGAAATGTCGACTTCACAAGAAACGCCGTCGATGAAAAACACACAGTTACAACTTCACCAATTTCATATATGTTGTAGCACTAGACCGTTGCGACAATTCCCAATTTGAATCGTAACAAAAGGTGAAGTAAATCGTGAGTTACGAATTTCGGCGCACTAGAAGGTATGCTGGAGCTGAAACTTAACTCAATCCCAATATTCTCCTAAGAAACACACAAGGAAATTAGAGTAGCTTGAAACCAGGTCAGAGGGGATGAGTGTCGAAGAGAAAAGGCCCCGCTCTCGCTTGGTCGAGGTAGACCATGCTTCCGGGAGCACAACGGTGTGCAGACGGCTTCGTCTCTTGGTCATCGGCGAATTTGGGGACTTTTATCTGTGTGCGACGAGTCGTCTGTCGACGAGATTAATTGTCGAGGAAGAAGTGTTTCTTCTGCTCGACGAAAGTGCCTGTCGACGAGGCGCTCCTCGACGAGAGTAAATCGGCGTCGAAGACGAGCTTCGCTGGTCGACGGAAGTGGCAGAATTGGCGTTTCGACGGATCGATGGTCGACAGAATTGTGCTCGACAAGTGCATCGTCGAGCAGAGCGTTTCAGGTCCACCCAAAGAAGGAAGACGACTCCAACGACCAACAAGGAGGTACCGGTTGGGGTCGCGGTGCGAAATCTGGACGTGGGGGGAAGTCGGGTGCTGGTGGCAAAATGAAAGGGAGTTGCTGGTATTGTGAGAAAGAGGGGCACCCCTGGTTTTTGTGCTATAAGAAACCCGATGGATGGACCCCCCCAGAATCGTCACCAGGATGGCGGCGCGTGGAGGAACCAGAAAAGCGGCGCGAACATGGTCGCCGATTCGTCCGACAACAACCCAAAGAGCAACGGCGGTGTGGAGAAGAAGAAGGAGCGCACCGCGGGCCCGTTCTTCCATATTGGAGAGCAGGGGGGGAAAGGAGACGCCTCTGCCAAGGTTGGAGCAGAGCTGCACCCCCTGGACTATTGGGTGTTGGACACGGGCGCTGCGTGGACGATGACGCCGCGCAAGGACCTGCTAGACGACCTACGCTCTGCACCAATCTCTGAGGTGTGCTCTGCCTCTGGACACGCGTTGAAGGTGGCTGGTGCGGGACGAGCTGCATTCAAGGGAGCGGATGGCAAGCCGGTGGTGCTGCACAACGTTCTCCTTGTTCCCGACCTCAAGGCCAACCTCATCTCCCTCCGTAAGCTCGCCAAAGCTGGGGTGAGTACTAGCACGGATGGGGCACGCACTTACAAGGGGCAGCTGGGCAACCGGGTGCTTTGGGATCTGCACGAGAGCAAGGATGTGTATAGATCCATGTGGCAGCTGCCGGCATTGGCGTGGCACGGTGGGGGGCAGGCTAGAGAGGGGTCTGCGTCCCAGGGGGAGTGCAACGCCGTGGGAGCCGTTGGTGTGAAAGTATCGGCCAGATCTGGGGAGACGGATTGGGCAACGGCACACCGACGCTTGGGGCATGTGGCAATGCCCTTGCTGAAGCAGTTGGAGAAAGATGGAGCTGTTAAGGGTCTGAAGCTGACTGGACAGCCACCTGATGATAACTGTGAAATCTGTTTGCTCTCAAAGTTTACCCGTTTTCCCTTCCATAGTGTGTCTGGCAGGAGCAAGAAGCCTTTGGAGCTGGTTCACATGGACTTGGTGGCGCCGCTGCCGGTGCAAGGGCACAAGGGGGAGCATTATTTTCTAACCATTGTTGATGATTGGAGCAGACTCATGTGGGCGTATCCGCTGAAACAAAAGGACCACGCCGCCTTCACGATACAGGAAGATTGGCTGCCATTCGTGGAGAAGCAAGCGGAGTGTGTGGTGAAGCGGATTAGGACAGATCGGGGTGGTGAGTTCCTTGGAGCTGAGATGACGGCCAGGCTCAAGAAGCAGGGCATTCAGAGGGAGCTGACCACGGCTTACACCCCACAGTCTAA